GGGTTCCGTGTTCAGAAACAGATCCACATACACAATGGCAACAAGTCAACCTTTGTTTGGTGTTGGAAAAAAACTAAAACATTATAAAGACTAGGGTTATTATTAGACTTTTACCATGACATCCCTTTTCTGATCTTGGTGAATGGTTCCACGATAGATGAGAATCATACGAGCGAAAAGCCAGAAAAGACAAGCAATGCTGTGTTTTCCCTTGTTGTTAGTAGGAATACAAGTGCCAACCAATCTGCTTGGAGAATCAGTGTCACAGAAAGCAATAATTGGAAGCTTTTTCAAAGCAGTTTCCTTCACTGACTCACGGTTGATTAATGGGGCGGTGACAATCAACAAATAATAAGGTTGTTGTTTGTTACTCAAGGTACCAGGAGTGTGTCTTCCATCAATTGCTTTAACACCTGTATAATGACAAAACATCGATACATCTTTCTGACCATTAGGGCTTGATGATTGAGCAATAATATATTTCGGGCTGATTGTTGCAAACTTGCAATCATCCTAGCAGCCATCTGAAGCCTTTCCCATGTCTTTACTATGTTGATAACACAAGTACCATCTTTGCGTCTATTCAAGACATAACGTGTGATCTGAGGTTTGCAATTTATGGTACCAACATGAACTTCAACCTTTAACAGCATCTCTATATCAGCTTTTACCTGGGATTCATTCGCCGTAGTTACTACATAAGCCGCCATTGTCTTCGTCTCTCTCCTTCTTTGCTCTTATCCGAAAAACCCTAAAATTTCACTTGTGGCGAGTCTTATATAATTAGGTTTGCAAGAGTCGACCAAAACAAAAAAAAATGTTTTTATTTATTTTTGTTAAAAATGTTATGTTACGAGATTATACCAAAAAAAAATAGGCATACCAAAATCTACATACACGGAATCGCCCGTGAAGCTTTGATTCCCCCTACGGAATCGGAAGCGGAAACGGAAGCGTCCTGGGAATATCTATGGAATCGCGATTCTCAGAAAGTGAAATCTGGAATCGTCGTGGAAACGCAATTGTTACGGACGGGAAACGTGATTCCGTCGGCGTCCGTTTTCTATGAAGAAGATTGTCATCTTTTCTTGATGGGTTATTAAAATTCTCGTGGCCCATTAGACTATTAGAGCATGTGCAATGCTAGCTCTTAGAGCATGTTCTTAGTATTGATTTGATTAAATTTAATTGATAAATGGTAAGAGCAACTAAAACCAGTTTTTAATTAAGATCAATTTTGAGTGTGTTCTAAAAGACACGTGTCAGAAGAAGG